TATTCTTGATATAAAATACACATACACACACATAGAAAATATCTATGAAATACACATCCATATGTTTGAAGTGTGCTATCAAATTACTTGTAAAGAGTTTCACTCTCGATTTCAACCCGACAGAAATTTATCTCTTTCATTAACCTCGTCTCAAATAACGTGCTAATTAATTGACTCATAACAGTGCAGACACTCCAAAACGAAAGCCTTCTCTGTTGGAAAGATCAGTTAGGATGATGCTACTTGATAAAATGTAAACCGTCAAATATACTATAGTAGTAAATTATAGTATTTTATTGGTACAATGCAAATTATATCAAAGATATAAATGAGAGTGTTGTTATACATTTATAGAAAGTTTTCCAAACAGAAAATCATTCTTAGCAAGCCTTTCAATTATTGTCAATTCTAAAGCATGATGGTAGTCTGTTATATGTGTGTATGTATTTATATATGGAAAGTTAACCTTCATAAATTGTTTGCCGAGGACGTTGCGAGTGTGGGTGTGAACGGAATTGTCATTCTCTCTTTCTTGCACGCATTTATCACCGAGATGATGACGTTACCGAAAAGTATCGCGTTCAAGGCCACTTTCGAGGTCAAGAATAGTATTACATTGAAGATAAATATTTGATTCGTCCCACATCGATACATTTAATCGCATTTATTCCTTATTATTAATTAGATTTAGCTAATAAATCTTTTTCTTCTTTTTTTTTTTTTTTATTTCCTTTCAATAGAAAATTAAAAAAAATATTCCAATTCATATTCTAATCGATATATGTATATGAAGTTAATATATGGAAAGGTGATTAATAATCTAAATTGTTTTTTAATGGTTCCTATTATTGCATATTGTACAGAAAAAATAAAGGGTAGTTAGGGGGAGAAGGGAGTTAAAGAAAAACTAACATTGAAGTTTTGCATTTTAATGAAGGTTAATCGTTCTTTTTGTTATCTCAGGACACCCGATAAGATAACACAATTATATCCGTTAGCGCAGTATAGTGTCTTCGGTTAGAACATGCTTAACTTTTGAAGGTTCCTTATAATCGACGACACGAGTTTGAAATACCAGTCATACTAGTCGAATGACTAATCGCAACGATCGACATTCCTTTCGGTATTTTTCGAAGGTTATCGTAGATCGCTCAAATAATTACCAAAAAAACAAAAATAAAAGAAAATAATTAAAGAAACAAAAAATAACAACGCGAAACCGAAAGATTAATTATTCGATATTATACGAAAGTATTATCAGAGGTATCAAAATGTAATGAGTCACAGTGGGCCACCTGTTATCTCGTTTTTAAATGTATCTACGTAATCGACGAAGACAAGACTATATTAATCAAGATTGTTTATTAAAGTGAATCAGCTAAGTTTAGTTTTCTTCTTCTTTTTTTTTCTTTTCTTTTTTTTCGTTTCTTTCTTTCTTTCTAAGGTAATTCTATCGGTATTTGTACGGGTGGATACTGGGGACTGAGGGACAGCAGCAATGCGATGCCAGTGGAACCAGTTTTCTGGATAAAAGTATTGCAGTAAGAAAAAGAGAAAAAGAGAATGACCCCGAGAGAGAAAACGTTCCCTTACTCTCACGTTCAGTCTCTACTAACTATTTGCGCAATTTCTTTCTATGGTAGTACACTTTGAAAATTAGATTTATTGTGCAAAGATACCATTCATGGTTATCAACGATCATCTACAGTCAGGGTTAATTAATCTCTTCTTTTTTATATCTACCACAAAGATACTTTTGTAGTTTTTTTGATAGTCAAATTTTCTTTCCATCCACCAATTTCTCGGTAATTCAATTTAATGCAATTCTTTTTTGCAAAGTATTCATAATTTTTACGTAGAGGTTAAGTAAAAATTGATGCAGTTGTGTCTTCTTACTTTTCCTTTTTATGGGCTCAAATAACTTTTCTACTAACATCTTGTTGCACTTATCCAATACGATAGGTGACGGATGTGAACGGTAAATGAACTAATAGAGACCGCATAGAGTCTTAAAATTTTTGTTCATTAGGATTTGAGAAAATTACATTTTTTTATAATAAATGTTATGGTATAAAAATTTTCATTACTTTTCTTTTTTGTTAAGAATTTTGTGGGATTTTTTTGTTGAAATTTGTACTACTCGGAGCCCCCATTTGATTTGATTCGCCATTGCCAATACTACCAAAGAAATGTCGTGTTTTTTTAAGGCTTCTTTTGAGATAACAACATACGGTTTTTGTTTTTCTTAACGGATCGTCCATTTATTTTACTAACCGTACCCACGTTGCTTGACTTTTGCAAGTCACATACACAGTTATCTGTTATGTAGAACTAATAATTCAACGTTGATAGAATGTTGACAAAAATAGGTATAGTTAAATGTATCTTTTTATTTATACATTAGCTTATGTTAATGATAATTAAAAAATTTAATTTGATGTTGTATTTTTGTATCTCGATCGATACAACTCCAACGTATGCAGAAGCTGTTTTCAAAATTGAGAAAAAAGAAAATTAAATATAAAAACTAGAAAGTTTATTAAAATTTCCTTTGCGATTCCTTTCAACATTGAACAAAATCCCTTACCATTTACTACGAAAATTTAATCCCTTAGGCACCGTCGAATGTGGCATGGGGCTGTTTCTCTGTACGACAGGGTTCAAAGGCTGTTTTCTATGCGAGTACATTTTAATAATAAAGTTTTTCATGATTAAATTATAATTTTTCTCTAAGAAATGATACACATATACTTTACTAAGACAATTTACTTTAATAATTAATAATAAAATTAAGTATAATATATTTTAAAAGATGTTATCCGCGAAAGCCACTATAATGGCGCGTAGTGCCTAAAAGGTTAAATTGTTCATTTATGGATGATAAGGGCCAAATTGATTATCCCTGATCTACAAAGAATTGTATTTAATTTAATGTACTTTGATAGTCGATCGTTTGACGATTTTCTGATAGCCAGATTTATTTCTAGGATTATGAAAATATAAAAGATTTAATCTGATCTGAAACTAGTATTATCGTTTAACTATGAATTCGTGATAATCTATCAGCATTTATTTCATTACCAGATTCTAACCGATGACGCATCTCGGTGTATTAAGCTTATCGCAAAAAAACATTTATGTAACATCACCATCATCAACGATTATTACCGGAACTGTTATCTCCTATACATATATAGGCATATGATTAGGTATATTGATTGTTTAGAAAAAGAAAGAGAGAGAAAGTTGTGTTAATCCAAATTAAAATACAGGTTAAAAACAATCAGCTGTGTGAATCAACTGAATGTCATTTTATATTTTCATCTGAGAGATAAAGAAATGAAAATATTATGTTTTAATACTCCGTCGGTAAAATAGATTTTAATAACCTTGCCTTACGTGGATATATTTTTTCTTATTATGTTATGTTATTTAAAAAATTTAATAAAATTCACTAGTACTCCCTTTAGAGTCTCTAGAATATTATGAGTGAGTTTATTTTGTTATTTACTATTTCAAATTAAAGATAAACATAGTTATTTAACGTAACATTGGCCCTAAGGAGATCCACGTTGCTATTGGAGGTTTAACTTTGTGGTGAAATAACGTGCAAGGTCGTAAAAATAAACAAATAAAATGCTTGATAATGTATATGCAATATGGTTAAACCCACTTCCGTGGAATAGAGTTAAGAGAGTTCCGCCTTTCCCACAGATGATTCATATAGATCAAAATTTTATGATCTATCAGTCAATCTATAATACATAAAAGAAGATAGATAAATACTTAGTTTTATATATATTGTATTTATCTATTTATTGTATCTAGAACTAGTGTTCTTCGTAATAAATTCTATAACACGTTCTTACTATTCTTTTGTTCTTTTGTYTTTTTTTTCTTTCTTTCCTTTTTTTCTTTCTTTCTTCTTCTTTATTATCAGGTATGTTTAACGATAAGATTCGATAACAGGTTTAACGTATCATAAAATCTCACAAAGTTTTTAGTTCTCGTTTAAACGTCAGTCGAAGAAGCTGCTTTGACAAGCTTTTTGCGCGTTTGTATATATATTTTATTTGTTTGTTTGAACATCTTTTTCTCTCTCTAATTGTTTGTATTTTATTTAATTTAAAATAAAAAAAATGGAAATATTAAAATTAAGCAGATGGGACATCGTGGAAGAATATTTTAGTGATTTTAATAGTTTATTTAATTTAGTAAGTATGTAATTTGATATTATTTCTGTCACAATTAAAGTTTGAAAGGATGAAAAGCATTCGTTGATCGACGACAGTGCCAACGTTGTTTCCGAGGAATGCTTACGTAGGAACGTGCAGGGTCGATTAACCCCGATCAGCACTCTTCTAACAGAGACTCATATTTATATGCATCTAGATATCTGCACGCAAAAACAAACAAAAAAAAACATACGTGCAATATTCTTATTACTTTATTACAACTATTAAAAATAATTACGAAATCACTATATGATTGAATTATTAATAAATTACCGTTCGAAGACAAAAATATGATTTTTTTGATTGACTACTAGTAAGATATCGTAGACGTATTAATATAGGATTTCTTTTATACTTGTGCATTAAATACCGACGACCTATAATATGCATAATTACAACATACATTGGTAGGGTTTCAATGGACGGCTATCTTATTGAATTGTTTAAAATTGTGCAAATAAATTAAAAATAAATAAAAATAAAAATTCCAATTGTAAAATATGTATTTATATAATTAATTTAATTAAATATGTTTCACACAGAGCATCATGTCTCATTATTTAATTGTAAAATTATATAAAAAGTCTTTAATTCAAATCTCATAAAAAAATGAAAAAAGAAAAAGTACTTGTTAAAAGTCAAAACCATTTTTTTAAGGTGATGCAATATAGTCGAAAATCTTAAAATATGCCATTCGAATCGTAATGTCTTAATAAAACAGTATTTAGAACACGTATTTAATTGATTTTGTCGTTTTTTTTTCAGATCGATGCAAACGGTGACGGATTCATTGATTTGACCGAGTTACGAAATGCCTTGGACGTTTGCGGATTTAAAATGCCGGGTTACAAAGTACGACAAATGATCGAGGAGTATGACGACAAACAGAGACTACAACATAAGGGCCGGCTGTCCTTCGACGAGTTCGAGAAACTCTGTAAAGAACTTAAGGCCAACGAACTTGGATCCACTTTCAAGCACGTCGTTTCGAAAAAGGAAAATCTTGAAACGTTAGGAGGAATTTCAGAAGCATCGAGTGTTGGTACTACTCATTCCGTTAGACTCGAGGAACAACTTGCTTTTAGCGATTGGATTAATACTAATCTAGCTCATGATCCTGATTTGAAACATTTGTTACCTATCGATCCCGAGGGCAAGACACTTTATGACAAGGTCAAGGACGGTATACTCCTTTGGTTGGTACTTTGATTAATCCATTTAAAATAAGATTAGTATCGAGATTGTATCGTTTGGATTTAAAAGATAATATTTTATTGCAATTGTTACAGTAAAATCATCAATCATTCCTGTCCTGACACCATAGACGAAAGAACGATCAATAAGAAGAATCTGACTTTGTATAAGAAACATGAAAACTTGACGCTGGCCTTATCATCGGCTCAATCTATCGGTTGCAATATCGTCAATATCGATGCTCATGATCTCACCAAAGGATCCCCGCATTTGGTGTTGGGTCTCTTATGGCAGATTATTAGAATCGGTCTTTTCAATCAAATTACTTTAGAGAATTGTCCTGGTTTGGCGACCTTATTACAAGATGGCGAACGTATCGAGGACCTATTGAAACTTTCTCCGGAGGCTATACTATTGAGATGGGTTAATCATCATTTGGAAAATGCTGGTATCGCTAGAAGATGCAACAACTTCCAATCTGATATTACGGATTCGGAAATTTATACTTATTTAATCAAACAAATCGCACCTCATACTGCTGGTGTTACCGTTGAAGCTTTGATGGAACCAAATCATTTGTCCCGAGCTGAAATTATGCTTCAACAAGCTGCTAAATTAGGCTGTCGTAGTTTCGTTACACCAAACGACGTTGTCAATGGTATTTATAAACTCAATCTGGCATTTGTTGCAAATATGTTCAACAATTATCCCGGTCTGGATAAACCCGAGAACAACATCGAAGGATTAGAGTCCTTGGAGGAAACGCGAGAAGAAAAAACTTACAGGAATTGGATGAATTCGATGGGCGTGGTACCTCACGTTAATTGGCTTTATTCTGATCTTGCTGACGGATTAGTCATTTTCCAATTGTATGATATTATTAAACCTGGTACAGTCAATTGGCCTAAAGTTCATAAAAAGTTTACTAAGTTGAGGAAGTTCATGGAAAAATTAGAAAACTGCAATTATGTTGTTGAACTTGGAAAGCAAATGAACTTTTCGTTGGTCGGTATAGCGGGACAAGATATAAATGATGGTAATGCAACCTTAACCTTGGCACTTATCTGGCAATTGATGAGGTCTTACACCCTTTCTATTCTGACGTCGTTGACCGGTACACAGGGTAGTACTTTGGTCGAAAAAGAAATCGTACAATGGGTTAATACGAAATTGCAAGGGGCAGGAAAAAATAGTAGTATCAAAAGTTTTCAGGATTATGCAATATCGGATGGAAAAGTTGTGATAGATTTGATCGATGCTATCAAACCCGGCTGTGTTAATTACGACCTCGTTAAAGAGGGTGGTACTGAGGAAGTGAGTCATTTAAAATTATTAGAACAATACACTACGAGTATAAAATTATTTTCTTTTTTTCAAAGAGTTCAACAAATTGTACTAATGAAATAATTGAAATTGTAGGAAAACCTTGACAACGCCAAATATGCGATATCCTTGGCACGGAAATGTGGTGCTCGTGTCTACGCGTTACCAGAAGACATAACCGAGGTTAAACCGAAGATGGTGATGACCGTGTTTGCCTGTTTAATGGCAATGGACTACGTCCCCAATATGGATTCAGTAAAGCAGCAAAATAACTTGAATAACAGTCAATAATGTCGAGCCATATTTTTACCGTCGTGCCGTTACTTTCCTACGCGAGAACTTTTGATAGGACATTAAATTTATAAGTGTCCTGTTGTGTCTCTTCCAACAACGTAATAATAATAATAATATTAATAATAATAATAATAATAATAATAATAATAATAATAATAATAATAATTGTATATACATAGAATAGGATAGCTTCTTTTTCACGATTCGTAAGGATCAAGTTTGGGAGTAAACGAGTTGGCAGGACACACAGAGAGAAAAAGAGAAAGAGAAAATAGATGTTCGTCCTGTTATGTATGTATGTATGTATGTATGTATGTATACATGTGTGCGAGTGTACGTGTGTGAGCGTGTATATGCATACATGCTTGTTCTTTTTTTATAACGTCAGGAGAATTCACTAAATTTGGCTACATTATTATTGTATTATTATACTAAATGAGATCTACATGATTCTCCTCCTATTTATCGAGACTCACCGTAATTCATTGAATTTGTCAGCGTATCTTTTAATTAAATCCTTCATCTTTGCACCCTTTTAAATCCAAATCATTTAAATAAGAGAAATGTAAACTGTGATCGAAACGATTATATTTTTAAAATATGTCTAATTTCAATTTATAATCATTTTTGTGTATCGAAATACTAAGGAACGAAAACAGTTATACTAATTGAAAGATATTTCACAAAGGATTAAGTCGCATCTTTCAACTTATAATTGTAATTCGCTGTCATTTTGAGTGCTTTGATGATGGCCTGTTAGATATATATATTATATGTGTGTATATTTATATATATACACAGATATGCATTTATAATATATAATATAAAAGGACTGTTCTCTCTTAGCTTACAGTTACGTTGTTTTACAATTTTTCAATCATGTTAACGTCAATCGAAAGGTTAGTAGAAAAGAATCTTTCTAGTATAAGGAATACCAATCGATAAATAATGTTTGAACAAGATTTTTACACATATTATTGCTATTTTAGGAATATTATATAACATTCCAAAATCTTGATAAAATTTTTTTCCGAAGTATTTAACAAAAACCTTCAAAGTAATGCCGTTTCATAATAAAACCTCTTTTTTAAATAACTTTTTCAATAATGGTGTATTAACAAAGTGATAAAATTATTTGTAATCGTGTTTTTCTATGATCTACTAAAATGATATAATTTGATAAGAGATCACCTGCACAAAATATCATCGCAAATCGTGCCATTATAAAAGGTTTAAAGATAGAACTGTTGTTTCATTTTTTTTGTTCTTTTTCATGATTTCTATCAAATAGATTCGTTCGTACAACGTCGAATGATAAAGAAAAGAAGTATGATAGCATTTATGAGTAAGGATAGAAAAAAAAAAGATTAGAAAATATCTGCTGATAGATTAGAATCTATACTGTCCTACCAAAGCTATGATCTTCTATTTTTACGCATATCTGTAAACGTATCTAATTTCTTTGAGCTCTGTTAGACATATCTAAGGGAGCTCTTTTAAAAAACAATTGTTAGGTTTATATTACTTCTACGCGCGATTAGACTTTTATTAAATATTAAATATAATGTCAAATTTCAATGACCGTTTGAAAACGAGAGAATAAAGAAAACCGAATAGTGCAATAATTATGATGTGCATATCCCATTTGTAGATATTTCATAAAACGTAACGGTTTATATCTCGTAAAAAAAAGTAGAGAAAAATCATTCTTGTTTGAAAAAAATGCATTTCCATCGTCGAATCATATCAAAAATAAAAACTAATTGATTGCGAATCAAATGCGTAAATATTTGTTAACGCGAATCTGTCGAAGATATAATAATCGTAATATTTTATAATAAATATCATTGAATAAACAAGAGGAAATTGATCGAGATTACAATGATCGATAAGACGACTTAGATAGCACATATTAGACTATGAAAGTAATCAAACGATGCCTAATTAATTTACAGAAAAAAAAAAAGAAAAAAGAATAAAAAATTATAGAAAAATTTGCAATTTGAATAACATATTATATAATGGTTAGAATTTATGGTCATAATGTATGAAAGAAAAAAAAAATAATAATCATTTGAATTGAGCAGATATCATGAAAACTCTAATAGCGCATATTATGAAATATACCGTAATGAGGTGTACAACGTAAGTCATAATAAAATTATTAACTTGTATATTCGTCATTGAAATAAACAAAAAAAATGTCCCTAATATTTATTGATAGAATTACGTAACCCAATGTTGATACGTATATAATGACATTTTCTAATTTTGCATGATTTTAATAGAAAATGAAGTATTAGTTGAAAGCTTAATTGGTTTGACTCTGTTCTTAAGTTTGAAGGTCCTTTCGCGTTACCTACGATTCATAATAATTGACCTTGTCTAGTAATTTAATCAACTTGTTAAGAGAAACAAGTAAAACGGCGATTAGATGAATTTACTAAGAATTTTCCAGTCTTCTTTTCTAATGTCGTAGAATTTCATTTATTTTTAGTTGCGTGTTTAATATACGTTTGCAAAAATAAAATGATGGGAACGATATAATAATTGATTTCATTCAATCTATTTAAATATTCTTTACTTTGTTAATAATAATGTATTAATTTAAGAGACCAAAAAAAAATTAATTTAGTGTTTACTATTTTAACAAAAGAAGAATTTGTTTAATTGAAAATATTAACTACTGAACATGCGTTTAAAATTAAAGAAAATATCTGAAAGAATGCATTTTTAATCGGTTAAATGATTAAATATCATGTTTTCGGCATCTGTTCCAGAATTTGGTATCGTGGGAAGTGGACCTGTTGCTTCGGTAATACTCTTCAATTTGACCTTGGAAAATTCGTGAATTATTGCAGAATTTTGAAATTTTGCCTTGATCGTTGTTACCGTAAAACTTTCGAAGGATTCATTTTCTTTAACCGTTATCCTACTGAACGAGGATATCTTGGAACAAAATAATTTCCAATTAATATGATTACAATTAAAATTGAAACATTTTTATATATTCGGACAAACACTTACCACTTTTTTTTCCAGGTTGCCTCTTGTTAACCAGGATAAATAATAATTACCGTTAACGCATCTTTTTGGATTTCGGAATTTTTCTATAATCAGATTGATATTTCCAGATTTTTTGGGCACGCCGATCAACGTTAATTTGACTTCATCTTGTTCTTCGGACGATGATTCTTTTTGTTCTTCTTCCAAGGAAGAACGATCATCTTCTTGCCAAGAAATATTAAAAGCAGTATTGCATTCGCCAATAGTAAAATTTTCTTTTTTCACGAACGAAGTTGAAACCCCCATATATTGACGAATATTAACACCTATGGTCATTTGAGCTGCAAAATTTTGTATCAATTTTAAATTATCTATGTCGATCGGATTTTTCATATTCCATCTATTCATGCCATTTTCATTGTATCCTAATTCAAAATTCTGATTGACGAAAATGATGCCGGTTTCGTCGAGATTGTTAGTCATATCAATCATACGATAATTCATTTTAGAAATACGACATAGAAGAGTATCCTCGTTTTTCACTCGACATCCTACGCCACCATTTATATCCATTTGTACTGGATCATTTTCCCCCTCATTGGTTTTGGTTGTCAATATGTTTAAATCATAATTTATTTCCGGCCCGTATTTCCATTTTTCTATTTCCGGTATGGCGAACTGAGTCGCTAAATAAAAAAAATAAAAAAAAAAAATTAAAATTATTTACATTTCCGATATATTGTTTATTCCCTCGTAGAAATAAATATATATACGTATCTATAATTATGAAAGCCGTTTAATTGTAAATCATATATCTCTTGTTTCAAGATATTTAAAGAATTACATTTGAACACTAAATGAATTCTATATGATGTTGAAATAATAAATATCAAAATTACATTGAATTAATTTAATTTAAGATAATATGATATGAAATAATAAAAAAATCTCCTTTTTTTCATTTTGACTTACAATTAGACCACTTTCGTAATTATGGTAATATGTATTATAATGATTTATAATCTTATTATAAATAATATA